GCTTAAATGTATGCTAAATAAATCATTAAATGTTCAATGTATTGCTCGTTTTCCAATGTATGCCTTTCATTGACTGAATTCAACTTTTGTTCTGGGAGCTGCAGAGTTAAATCACTAACTATTGAAGTTTTTCCATATAAGGTAAACCTGGTTTGGTGTAGAAGGAAGGTAGGATGATGGTCTAAGTAATAAACTAGAAAAGAAGAAACATCTGGAAGTAGTTGTGGAGAAGTTATTAGAAACATTTTTTTAAATGAAATAAATGGGAAGACCCAAGGAAAGGATACAGCCAGTGTTCAAGCTTATGAACTTTTGAATATTCTGAGAGAAAGTTTGTCATTTACAATCATGAGACATTGGAACACAAAGGAGATGTTAAATTATATTGTTTTAATATGTAGCATTTCAGGTAGCATCAGAACACGTCAGTAAAATTGTCCTACATGCTAAAAGCTACATGAAACTGGAGAAAATGTCCATAAATCTAATTAGTGAGGTTGTGGAAATGTGTGGAAAGCATTTGGTACTTTTAGAAAATAAATGCGTAGCAAGAAAAATAGTCAAACGTAATATATGGGTTGGAACATGCCTTAGAAATATGTTGTTTAAATTATATTTTAACTTTTAAGTTTTAAATTTGCTTCTATGTACCTTGGACTTTAGGACCCATGTCTTTTTGTAGTTACAAAGAGCTGAAATAAATAGAAGTTATATGGAGAGGATAAAGCACAGGTATTTCCAGAAACTGGTATACATTGACCTAGTGACCCATTATTAAAGGATCGTTTTTCAAGATGCCATGCACATACTACATTGGAATGAAAATGCACAGCTGATGATGTGTGATAGCAAAGGAGAGTGAAGAATCAAACCTACAAATTACATTTGTGGGATTAGGCGAGAGATGAGCCGTGGGAGTATGAGAGAGAGGAGCTTAAGAGCACTGGGCCCTTTGGGAAAGTCTGGTCAATGGGCTATGAAGTTGGAAGAGAGAAATGAGAAAGGGGTAGTTTGAAAGGATCTCAAGATAAGTCTTGCTTTCTTAATAATATTTCCAAGGCCCACCCTGGTTGGATGCCAGTGATTGACATGAGTTAGTGATTTCTCAAAGGCTAAGAACCTAGTAGTTACATAAATACACTTTTATAGAAAGGACACCACCAAAAACACTAAACGACAGCTAGTTACCAGACTAACTTTACAAATTAATGTCATATTTCCAAATATAGTTTTGTGATATAGTCCACTACAGGCAAGTTCTAGTGAGCAATTGACATAATGATTACTAACATTTCTATAGGTAGAATACCACTAAGTTGTAGGGAAAGTTGACAAATACTTAAGTGGAAAAAGAAGTTTCTAAATCCTAAATTTTTAAATTAATTTTTACACTTTCTTATTACATGTTTATATGTTATAAGTAAATAGTTGTTGTTTTTTCTGAAATAGTGGGTTCTTCATTCTATGTGAAAAGAATTTGTTATAATAAACCTGCTTGTCCTATTAGAAGCCCCACTTTTCGTGAAGGGAATTTATATCTTCTCACAAGAAAGTTTTAGCTTGGTTGGTGATCACGTTTAAATAATAGTTCCTTGCATGTGGAAGGGTTGTAAATCTATACTAAACAAAAGCATTGTGTATCACTAATTATAATGGTCACACATAAAATTTTGTTGTATGTCTACTTTTTAAATATTTACTGCTAGAGAACTAGATTTCTAACAACTCTGGCTAAATAAATCCATAACTAAATGAAAAAAGCCTGAGTAACCAAAATAGAGTTAAATTAACTTTAATATGACAATGACCTAAAATTTTCGAAACTAAATTTTATTTTACTTTTGAGTATACTTTAAAATTTTTTCCAAGAAAGAAAATATGAAAACTTTAAAATTTTTACCCAGAACCCTTACCAAAATTTAAAGAATCTAGATTTTAAAATAGTTCCCCTGTACCTGATTTTGTCTATCTCTCAACTCAAACAAGCTCCACCAATACCCCACTACTGCCCCCTTCCACTCTGCAATTTTGGGTGCATGCACAAGTTTCCTTGACTAGCAATAGTGATGGTAATTACTTGTTCAGAGTAATTTTCCCAGCTTGCAACAGGAAGAAGAACTCTCAGAAGGTCTCTCCCAACTCATCCCCTAACCATGGCACCCTCTGCCCAGAGGCCATCTTCTTCCTCTACGGGGTCTTCACTGCCTTCTCCCTCCTCAAGGACTTAGCATAGCTCTTATTTTAACTTTGTCATTATATTCTCAGGAATCATCAAGAGAAAACTGGTGATCTGTGCTAATTCACCATTTTGTTCTAACAGCAATAATTTGTTTTATCTGAATGATATTTACATTAACTACAAGCTTACTATATCATATACTCTTAAGATGCATTCCGGCCCTGGCCAAGTGACTCAGTTGATTGGAGCATTGTCCCATATAGGAGGCAATCGGACAGCAGTGTTTCTCTCTCACATCGATGTCTCTCTCCCTTTCTCTCTCTCTCTCACTCTCTTTCTCTCTTTCCCTCTTCCTCTCCCTCTCTCTCCCCTCCCTCTCTTCCTCTCTCTCTAAAATGAATAAAAGCATATCCTCAGCTGGGGATTAAAAATATAACAAAATAAAATATGTCCTAGCAGTTGTGGATAGAGCATTGGCCTGCGGACAGAAGGGTCACTGGTTCGATTCCCATTCAAAAGCACGTACCTTGGTTGAGGCTGGATCCCTGGCCGGGGCTGGTGCAGGAGGCAGATGATCCATGTGTCTCTCTCACATTGAAATTTCTCTCTGTGTGTGTCTCTCTCCCTCCCTTCCACTCTCTAAAAATCAATAGAAAAATATCCTTAGGTGAGGATTCACAAAAAAATAAAAATAAATGTGTTTCCTTCTGTAATTCTCACAATTGTACTATCAAAGCTTTTATAAAGACATTTCTCAAGCACTCACCCAGCCCCTCAACTGAATTACCCACGTCACATAAAGATTTACTCCTAGAGTTGCCAGAATTGTAGGAAATAGGCACCATCTACCTACATCCCCTGTGTGCTGCCAACACCACAGATGTCATGGTTTCTTCTTTCTTCTTTGACCAGGGGACAGGTCTTTCTCTCAAATTTCCATTAACATTTCTGTTCTCTTCTGTTTTCTCCTCCTCTGTTCAATATTACTCAGAGATGTAATCTATATTATAAAAACCCAGTGGCCCTACGGTGCGCGTGGGCGGGGCTGTGAGCCAGGTGAGGTGCACGTGGGTGGGTGGGGCTGTGAGCACAGCCAGGCTGCGTGGGTGGGCGGGGCCCCCTGATTTCACGAGCTGGGCTTCTAGTATATTATATAGTTATATGCCACATAGCAACATTGTGGTCAATGACGGACTACCTTTATGACGGTGGCATACCATACAGTCTAGGTGTGTAGTAGGTATACCATCTAGGTTTGTGTAAGTGCCCGCTATGATGCTCCCAATGACAAAATTGCCTAGTGATGCATTTCTTAGAACAGATCCCTGGCATTCGATGGTGTATGATTGTATTGGAAAAGGACACTGTATCATGGTTAGTCAGCAAAAATAAAATGTGTAAAGTAAGCACATTTATAATAAAGCATACCAATCAATGAAGCATCATGAGGGCTAGATAAACAAGAGAAAACTTAGGAGAATTGCACCAGAAAAAGAAGGCAAGCAAAGAGAGCACTGGGCCTTTGTTCACTGTTCAACAGAAGCTGAACTGTACATATGAAATAGATCCCTCCCTACCTTTGATAATGACATTATTAAATTCTGGTTTCTCCGTAGTTTTTATTCTTCTAAATGGCCTAACTCCCTACATTACTGTATAAAGACGTATTTAATTTTCTTTTTAGGTATTTCCTATAACTTTATCCCCAAATCAGAATTTCTAGATCAGAGAATATTACTGATTTTGGTTTTTAATTTTGCTTTGTGGATTCACTTTTATTATAGTATTTTAAGTTTGATTACAAAAGAATACTGCTATATTCTATTCACAGATCATATTTGGAAGCAATTTATCAGAGATGAAATATTGAGTGGTATAGACCATTGGTCTGACCAGTTGAAGTATGTCATGGGTCTTTCTTTAATCTACTGCCCAGTCTTATACAGAAGCATGGAAATAAGTATGAGAGTAAGCATTACAGTTGTTTCACATAGTGAGTTTCCTATATATATTAGGTTTCTAGTATGCTCTGAATATAGATTTTTATACTTCAGACATCTGCACACATAAAGAATATTGAGTGGTTTGTGGGAGGTGGGGGGTTTCTTGTTTCTATAGGATAGAATAATGGAAGAGTAATCAAAGAGTATTTTTCCTAGAATGTTTGGCTGGCATTCATTGGGATATTAAATTGTTCGGACTAAACTATTTATCCAGTAGATGGCACTCTTAGTCCTTGGACCCCAAAGTTCACAAATGAATGACTGTTCCTTTGCATTGGTTATATAGATCATAACAGAATCCATGCTACTGACGTCTTACATGCTGTTTGGTATCTTACTACACAACCTATTCCTGGCCTCTCAACTGTGATTAATGATCATGGATCAGCAAGTGATTCAGGTACGTGCTAAGGACATCTGTGCTCCCTTGTGAGCTATGGGAACAATAGAGTACCTTTTTAGGAGGTCAAGATAAATGATATCATTTACTTCTTGTTCAAAATCTCTATTACTTTCATCTTTTCTTTTCAGATTCTGACAGTGGATTTACACATGGACACATGGGATATGTATTCTCAAAAATGTACAATGTGCCAGACGATAAATATGGATGTCTGTCTGGAAATATTCCTGCCTTAGAGTTGATGGCACTGTATGTGGCTGCAGCCATGCATGACTATGACCACCCAGGAAGGACTAACGCATTCCTGGTTGCAACTAGTGCTCCTCAGGTAACTCTATTTTGATTACGAGAAATAATTCAATTGAGAGATTTCTCTGAAAAAAAAAATCGTTGTTTTAAATTTGATTTATAATAGGCACCAAATAAATATGAGCCGAACTATATTTGGCCCTGACATAAAGTTCTTAGAGATCATGCCAGCTTTGAAAAGATAATGTGATTTGTTCCAAGTTATTCATGGCAGGTATGCAACTTGATTACCCATGGAAATCTCTTCTTAGTTTTTTCCTAAGGAAGGAAAACTACTTGAATTCATGTTTATGAACTTCCTCAACAAAATCCAACTTGTACAGAAGTCCCTTTCTGAAAAGATTAGAGAACCAAATCTTTTTGGACTTTTAAGAATGCAAGGCTTCTTTGTATATAAATCCCATTCCTTTGAAATATATTTTTATTATAACAATTATGATTCGTAAGGTATATTATTGGTCAGTCGGAATTAAAAATAAATTTATTTCATTTGAGGGAAATTTTTTCCTGAACCTAGCATTCCAAAATGGTAACTTGAAAGAAGCACATCCTTAGCATATATTTACATGTAAGTCAAAATTAATCACTAAGTATCTAATTATCATTAGCTATTCAATTAAACTCAGTAAACGTCTTCCTCTTTTATAGTCTAGAATTTTCTTTTACTCTATATACAATAAAAATATTCTGTTGCTTTTTTTCCTGACTACCTACTTTAATTTATTTCAATGTGTCCTTTGAGCAGAAGCATTATTTTTTGTATAGTCATGCAAATCCTCTTGCCTCTTACTATTCAAATTGTCCTATTTTTATACCTTAGTAATAATGTCCTTCTGTCCTAATGCCTTTTGTTTTTTATCCTCTATCACACTGTCTTTAAGCATTTTTTAGGCAACTTTCTCTTCTTCTGGGCCTTTTCTGAGCATTATTAGAAAATTGCAAACAAGTAGATACTGTTACCTTCAATTACTAGATAAAGGGTGATAGTTCCTATGGTTGATCATGGGGTGAGAATGTTTTAAATCATGGACTTGTCAGGGATTTCATTCCTCTTTATTAGTTATATCTTTAACTAAGAGGAGGCCATTCTTATTCTAGATGCAAAAATAGCTGAGTTGCCTCTCAGGTATATTAATATATTTGCATATTTTTATGGTTAAATTCCTGTGCCCTACAAAGAAATCTAATAAAATCTAACACTAAGCCCCTCACTTGGAAGTGTTTGGAATAAAGTTTCAAATGCATTACCTTTATTTTACCAAAAAAGAAAGAATGAAATTTAACCAAAAAGAGTAATCAACAGCCAATGTGCAGCAATCAGTGATTCTTAATAACCAGCAGTCACAAGACTACATTTTTGTGTTCCATGAAAACAGAAAATTCCAAATGCATTGCATATTCTCGTCTGTTTTTGTAATATTTTTTAACTTAAAAAATTGAACTCTTCCCTCTCTCGCTTGTTTGCCTAGGCGGTGCTCTACAATGATCGCTCAGTTCTGGAGAATCATCACGCAGCTGCCGCATGGAACCTTTTCATGTCCCGGCCAGAGTACAACTTCTTAGTTAACCTTGACCATGTGGAATTTAAGCATTTCCGTTTCCTTGTCATTGAAGCAATTTTGGCCACTGACTTGAAGAAACACTTTGACTTTGTAGCCAAATTTAATGCCAAGGTAACTAGATTTGTACCAGTCTTCATTTCATGGCCACACTGAAAGATGTCATGGAACTGAACTATTGAACAAGAGTCATTGCTATCACCTCTTATATGTCCAATGTGAAAATGAAATTCAATAAAATGTTTAACTAGAAGCAGATAAATAGTCATTGGTCCCAATCTAGGAACTTGAGACATTGAGATGCTGTCTATATTTTATTTTGTGATACAGGGAAATAATGAAATTCTGTCATTGTGTTTTTGTTTGACTTAATTTGCTCCCATGTCTGTGGTATACAAACATAAGTAATCTGGCAGTAGAAAAGTCAAAACCCTGAAGCAATATTTCATATGTCAAACATAAATGCTCAAATGTTAATTCAAGAAAATTTCTTATTTGTAGCTACATTACTTTAATAGTAATAGATAACATGCTAATTTTAAATAGCATTTAGTTTCAACTGCATAATTAATAATTAGTCATCATTTGTTATTTTATTTTTATAAACTATTTTACTATTAATTTATACAAGGCAGTAAAACTGCATAATTAATAATTAGTCATCATTTGTTATTTTTATAGACTATTTTACTATTAATTTATACAAGGCAGTAGCATTATTTTAATTAGCTGAAAAAATTCTCATCACTTGGCATTCTGATCTCCACATGGTAGAAAAACAATAAATATTGTATTGTTTATTCTCCTGGTCAACTTTTGCTTTCCTTGAGGTAAAACACATCCATCTTTGTTTCTCAAACAGGTAAACGATGAGGTTGGAATAGATTGGACCAATGAAAATGATCGTCTACTAGTTTGTCAAATGTGTATAAAGCTGGCTGATATCAATGGGCCAGCTAAATGTAAAGAGCTCCATCTTCAGTGGACAGAGGGTATTGTCAGTGAATTTTATGAACAGGTAAGTGATTTCATCCATGCTTAGGCTGCTCATAAATTCTGCAAAGTTTCCAAAAGCTTTGAGTGTGATAAATCTATTTCATATTCACCCTAACATTAGAAAATGCATTGGCCAATTTTAATCACAGGATTAAAAAGATGACCAAAAATGGACTAAATTATAACCATAAAAATTCTAAGATAAAGTTATTTGCAAGTATTTTGAGAGATTTTAAAGTAATAGAGACATTGGAAAGACCACTGAAATATTGTCCTTTTACAAATTCATTATAATAGAAGCCAATTTTAGTTTAAATATATGAATATATACCAGCTTAAGTTTACTTTTCTAATAGAATTAAGAACCACAGTGTATGAAAAGGCTTAAAAAACAGGCATTTTTTGCCCTAACTGGTTTGGCTTAGTGGATAGAGGATCGGCCTGCGAACTGAAAAGGGTCCCAGGTTCAATTCTGGTCAAGGGCATGTACCTTGGTTGTGGGCACATCCCCAGTAGGGGGTGTGCAGGAGGCAGCTGATCGATGTTGCTCTCTCATCGATTTTTCTATCTCGCTGTCCCTCTCCCTTCCTCTCTGTAAAAAATCAATAAAATATATTTTTTTAAAAATAACAAGCATTTTATTTGACATGTTAATGTGAGGTTTAGCGCACTACCAAAAAACTACCACCAAAATGTAAACATGAGTGGTCTTCCCTGAATTACCCTCCACAGACCAGATTATACTGGAAATTTTGTATTGAGTATTGTGAACCAGTCTCTTAAGATGAATCTGGAGGTAGTGGAGCCTGGGTAAAGTACAGGGATCAGTGACATAAAAGCACATGAAGACATAAAGGAAGTGAAGATATTAATCCTTGGGGGTAATAGAAGTGATATAGTAACTATCTTCAGATACTTAACAGACTGACATACAAATTTAGGATTAGGTTTACCATGAAGTAGTTGTGGAGATTAAAGAAGATATATTATATGAAGTACTTGACACAGAATCTGATTTATAAGAAACATTAGATTCCTCTCTGCTTCCCTAAAAAGGGTATGAATATAACCAGTTTATAGAAGTTATGAGGAGATAGATTTCAGGTGAATGCCAGAAATAAATTCGCATTACTAACAGCATCCACAAATAGGATGAGACACCTTAACAAGTAATAAATTGTCTGGACATATTTAGAGAGATTATAAAGAACTTTTACAGGTATTATTCACAAGATTCATATGTACGATAAAAGGTTTGCGCTTCTAGAAAATAATGTATTGCCTCTCCTAGGAATGAGGTTAATTCATAATCCTGAAATATTGAAATACAGGAAAACTCTAAAGAAAAAGGAAAATTCGCTTATAGTAATTCCCACTATATTGTCATAAACATTGTTGATATATTAGTATATTTCTTTATGGTTGACAATCTGATTTTTTTCCAGAAAGATCTGAAATTGTTCAAAAGACAAACGTGTATAGAATGGTCCTATTATATAAATAGTAAATAAGAATATAGACATCATATAATCACAGAAGATATAATTCAACCAAAATCTAGGATAAGGTAGCAACTTTAATTGAACAATATCATATTTTAAGATTTCTGGTAGCCAAGGCAAAAAAAAAAGGAAAACATGATAGATTATGTATTTGCTTGATAATTATTTCCAGATTTGGTTTTTATGATATATGTATATAAGGCACACTGACTAATGTGATAAGAAATATCATCTGCTGAGACATTAAACCATTTCTTATATAGATCCCCTTGATCAAAAGCCAAAGCCTCAAGATCAAAAGAGTGGTATCTTTGGGGGGGAATCTCTTAGCAATAAAGAGGGAATTCACACATGGATATCTGGGTTCTTGCGTATTTGCAAATTTTAGATGCTAAGCAAATGTTGACTTTACTTGTATTTTAAACTTCCCTTTCCTGATAACTTCCTGTTTTTAGGGTGACGAAGAGGCCAGCCTTGGGTTACCAATAAGCCCCTTCATGGACCGTTCTGCTCCCCAGCTGGCCAACCTTCAGGAATCCTTCATCTCTCACATTGTGGGTCCTCTGTGCAACTCCTATGACTCAGCTGGACTGATGCCAGGGAAATGGGTGGAAGGCAGTGATGAGTCAGGAGATACCGATGACCCAGAAGAAGAGGAGGAGGAAGAAGAAGCACCAAATGAAGAGGAAACCTATGAAAATAATGAATCTCCAAGTAAGTTATAAAATTTTTTTTTAGGTTCAGATGAATCACCTGATTTTTATGAATTATATACTTTTGAGTCCCAATATCATCTGCTGCATTTGATTATGGAAACCCCCCTTAAATCTCATAAAAAGAGAAATTACAGGTTATGGGATCTATAATAATACCATGTTTACACAAAGACATGTTCTCTGTCATGAAGTAAAAAAAATTAAAAATTAAATAGTTGAAGCCTATTCTTCAGAGTATCTTAATGATTTCAGGATAAAAGGAATATCAGGTACCATCTACAGAAACTATAGACTTTTATTGGCTTGGTAAGGGGGAGACCATGTAAAGCAGTGAGAGATGGTAATCACTCATTGAGCAGATATTTACTGAGTACCTACTCTATGGCAGCCATTCTTCCAGGTACTGAAAACAGAGCTGTGAACAAATCAGACAAAAGAATAAATATATCCTTGCCCTTTTAGACTTTCATTCCAGTGGGTCAGCGGACATTAAGCAAAATAATCAGTAAATCAAAGCATGTTAGGTACTGGTAAATGTTAAAATTTTTTGAAAGGTAAGGGGATACGAAATTAAAATGTTAAAATTTAAATAAGGTGGCCATGGAAGGTCTAAATAAAAAAAACAGATGTTTAAAATTTTTTACAGACCTGAAAAAAGTGCAGGAGTAACTCATAAAGATAGAGATAAGAAGAACATTCCAAGGGAAGGGAAAGCAGCCGTGTAAAGGTCGGAGGTGGGCGGAGGTGGGCTCGGCTGTGTGGTCAAGGAGCATCAGGAGAGCTGGGTGGCTGAAGCAGAGGAGAAGGGGTGGGAGAGCAGCAAGAAAGAGAGTGGGGGCTGTATGATGTGAGGTTTGAAGTAGGGCTCTTAGGCCACAGTATGGAGTTTGGCTTTTACTCTGCCTGAGTTGGGAAGCCATCAGAGGTTTTGAGCAGAAGTGTTTGTTGATTCAGCTCACATCTCAACTGCATTGTTTCAACTGCCGTATTGAGTAAATTATTGAGTTTGGGGTAGGAAAAGGGGTCTGAGCATTGGGATGAGTTAAGAGGCTGTTGAAATTGCCCAAATGAGAGGTATCTGTGGCTTTGGACTGACTTAGTGGTAAGAGGGACAAGGAGAAGTGCTCACATCTGGTCATTGATTTGGACTGCACAGTGTACCCAATCTAATCCATTTAATTAACTATAAAAACAGATTATTTTTCTTCATGTGGTGAAATATTCTCAACAAAGGCTCTCTGCTATTTCTCCTGCCCTCCTCCACCCGAGTCCCACCCCACCCCAGGCCTTCATCACACTGTTGTCTGTGTCCATGGGTTATGCATATATGCATACAAGTTCTTTGGTTGATCTCTTCCCACTCACCCACCTTCCCACCCCTGCCTTCCCTCTGAGATTCGACAGTCTGTTCTATGCTTCTATGTCTCTGGATCTATTTTGTTCATCAGTTTATTTTGTTCATTAGATTCCACATATAATAAGGCAGTCAGAGAAAGACGAGACATAGTGGAATTTTAGAAATGGGAGGAGAACTGGTGATCATCTAGTTTAGCTGCCTCCTTTTACAAAAGACTAAACGGAGGCTCAAAAATTTAAGTAACATTCCAAGGTGTAGATGTTTTCTGCAGAATCAGAAAGGAATCCCAGGTCTCCTCATGTTTAACTCCATGGCTATTTCCTCTTGTCCTTTTAATTTCAGAATTCATGTTGACTCTGATGGTTAACTGGATTTAGCCTGAAACTTAGACTGAAATTAAATATGCACTGATAACTTCAGCAATTTGCAAAACTTGGAGACCTCCCAGGAAACATAGAATAAAATGTTTCAATATGGTATCCTAGGGAAAGAAGGCTTTTTCCTACCTCATAATTAAATCTGAAAGATTCCTGCAGAGAACTAAGAGGTTTCTAATGAAGTACTAAGCTGCATTTCGAATTTGAGCAATGAAAGGCTCTTTGTTCTCCTTTCAAGAGGTTCCAGTGCCGAACAATTTGGCTCCCAATACAAGCATGTTTTAGACCACCTGCAGACTCTAATCTACGCAAATGTATTTGGTACAAACTTGCTTCTACGTCACCTCGTTCAGTTTAATTCCAGAGAGGTTTATTGCTCATGTTCAACAGCATTAATAAGAGATCAGCTGCTCTCATGGGGGCTGACCTGAAAGGAAAGGGAAAAAGTTGAGCTTTGTGTTAGCTCCTTCCCTGTGAATGCCCTGCCATGAATGTGTATAAGTTTCGGATGGAGTAATCACCCTGCGTGGTAGAGTGTTTCCTCTGACCGTGATGCAAGTCTGTGCTGCAGCCAGTGGCCATCTGTAGCTCTCTTGATTCGAAAGGTTAGCATAGAAAGTATGCTAACCTTTTAAAATGTCTCAGCGGGAACTGATTTGTATTTAACTACAACATAAACAAAGTAGAAATAGACAAGTAAATGGCTTTGGTAGGAGAGTATTTTAGAGATTTGCTTGTTAAAATCTAATGTATTCATCTATTTTATTATTAATGAATTTCCCTTGCTGAGAAGCTTTCAAATGGAGAAATCTATGTCATGCTTCAGGCCCGTACACATGCCCCTCATTCTGCCCAGAATGCTACCAGCCCCTTCTTCACCCAGTGTATTAAGTCTCGTCATTTCCATCTCATTCAAAGGTGTCATTTCCTTTGAAAAAAAAGCTTACCTGTTTCCTTACAGGTTGAGTCTTTCGTTCACTATGATTTGACATGTCAGAAATAAACTGTACTACACACTTGTCAAAAATGGCAAGGAAGACATTATTCAAGACCATTGCAATAAGGAGGAAAAATGGAACTCACCTCCCTTGAAACAAAGGCAGGGGAGTTTTTAAGGGCTGCGATGAACTAGTGACAGAGGATGGAGGACCTTAGAGGGAGTTGCTCACTTAGGCCATGTGTGTTTGCTAACTGGTGCTTATGGAAGTTAGGCTCTCAGATCCTTGAGATGATGTTCAAATTGTAAAACTGGCTAGAGGCTGGGAAATATATATATACTAGGAACCCAGCACACGAAATCACGCGGCCTGCCCACATACCCACCACCCTGCCTTGACACCCAAACCTCTCCACACAGAGCTCCAGTGCACCTGGCCCAGCCCCCCGACCCCTCTGGCCTTCTCTGGCCGCTTCAAGCCTTTCCCTCAGTCCCTCGAGTCGCCTCGGGCTGGTTCTACCTTCTCCAGGCACCTCCCCGCTTTTGCCAACGGGACAGCTCCCCCTCGTCATGGCGCTGGAGGAAAGCCTGGAAACCTCTCACCTGCTGTGCTGTGCTCCTTCCTCAGGCAGGTGAGCGGCGGGGCGCTCTGAGTGCGAGCAGTGAGTGGCAAAGGACTGGTGAGGGGGGCACTATGAGCTCTCACCCCCGCCCTCCCAGGCACGAGCCTCCTCCGGGCGCCTGCCCGCTTCACCCCGTCTCCAGGAGCATTGCCCCGCCGCACACACGCAGGCAGCCTCCTCCTTAGCGGTCATGACTGTGACACCGTTAGGACCAATTAGCATATTACCTCTTTATATATATATAT